ATTAAAAATAAAAAAGCCTTTGTCCCATAAATGAAACAAGGGTGCATGGTCTTGGGGTTTGTTTGGTTTTTTGGGGGGGGGATTTTTTTAAATAAAAAAGGAAAATTCCCTGATTTTACAGTGTTTATGAAAGTCAGATGCACCCAGTCCCACTCCATGAGCTCAAGCCAGAGCCGAATGCATTCACAAAGCTTAAAATCTCAATTAGAAAACAATCACTCTTTCCTTGAGGTTTGTTAAGTTCAATGCTAGGATAGTAATAGGTCACGTTTAGAAAATGCTGCCTCTGTTCTGCAGTGAGGCCCAGAACATTGAATAGAGCCAGAGTAAGGTGGAATTTTTAGCCCAAACCCTACCCTGCTAGAAAGGCCCTAGTTTGGGGCGTTTCTCCTACCTGTGATTGCACATTGGCTCCGACTTGGGACCCCTGGTAAGAATCCCCATTCAGACTCTGCATGTTCATGAACATGTCCCCAGAATTTGGGAGGTTAAAAGAACCAGAAGAACCTGGAAAGGAAAGAGTTAAGTAGCTGAATAACAGAGAGCTACAAATATATATCCCCCAAGACCTCAAGGCAGGGGAAGGAGAAGGAGAAAAGGAAACAAGAAGGAAAGTAGGGCATCACAGAGGAAAGTTCACAATCTAAGAGGGAGGCTACTGACCAACACCCAGAACCTGACCGCATGCCCCGTGCGCAAGGGGGGCCCGGCTGGCAGCCCCGGGAACTGCTTGGATGGAGAGCCCTAGCGCGCTCACCCGGCCACAGCCTCTTTCCCGGGGCCCGGGAACTCCTTTCTCCAGGCTCTTCCTGCTGACTCTCTCCTGTCACATTAGCTATCGCGGCAGGGCAGGGCCCGCAGGCTGCATCGCACTGCCCTGTTCCCGCAATGGAAGGGCATCGTGAAGAGCAGTGCAATGCCTATAAAGCGGAGCACCTTCCCCGGTGCCATCGCTACCTACGCTGAGAAAAGCCTCGTGCTGAATGTGTGCCTAACCTCTCCTTGGAAGGGCGATGGCTGGTCGTGGCCAACTGGTCGATTTGTTACCATCAATGTAGGAACCCTTTTTTCACTTGCTTATTTTCTGTCCCTGTAGGATTTTCCCCATGGATCTTCCTACATTTTTAGGCACACACTAAAACTCGCTGCAAGCAGTGTCGGCAACACCTCTGCTTGCTCCCCACACCCCGCTTGGCCTCCTCTCTCCTCCCTTGGACTTAGCCCTTAGATTCTGCCTATGGAGGAAACACGCTAGTAAGGATTTGTTTTTTAACACTGAAAATGAAGGTGCGATAAGCCGCTCTCCAATGAATTACCCCCTCTGATATGCTCTTACAGACACTAGCAATTCATTTTCCAGCAGTGCAGCATTTCACATGCCAACGAGCGTAGAGCAGGATGTGAACATGCCTCTCTTCCCACCACGCATCACTCAGCACTGAGTTCAGCAGCTCGAGACACACACACCCAGGTGTGGCCTGGCCTTTTTTTTTCACTGAACGAGAAACCCCTGTCAAAATCTCCGCTGGAACACGAAGCTGCCAAAAGCCCGACCTGGGCAGTGACCCCTTTCCCCTGGTGGGACACGAATGTGTTTTCAGAAGCACAGGCTTAACATGCTGAAGTCAGCGGGAGCGGGCAGGTCACTGCTCGGCACTTGGAAAATTCCCACCCCAGAGGCTTAAACGATGCAGGGCCTCCTGGTCGTATGGTATCCTGGGGACACTGCAGCATTCCCAACTAAACTGAGTTCTCTACCACCCCAGAGCCGTTGCCTTCCTGTTTTGCTTTCTGGGATGCTCTAGTTGGCTGGGCAGGGGGAGAGAGAAAGCTCCTGGTACGTACCAGAGTTTGGTGTGGTCGGTGAGTTTGTCTGGTTATTCTGGACGGCGGCTGCCACGGCGTGTGCTGCGGTCACAGCCGTCTTTGCAGCGTAGAGATTGGCTTCTTCCTGAAACTTCCCTATGTTCTTCTTGTACCTGATTCTCTTATTGCCAAACCAGTTGGATACCTGTGGATGGGGAGGAGAGGAAGTAAGAAAAATCAGTCCTCCGGTGGCATTCGGCATCTCGTCGTATCGCTCTGAGATGTCACGCTTGGGTCCATCAGATACACAGTCCCCAGCCTTCAATCCGATGTCTGCTGGGTACTTAGATTAATTAAGCAATAATCAAGGATCAGCTGAGTATTATTATGGATATGAGCATGACATGGTTCTGTCTGTCTCTTGGCAGAACTGATACACAAGGGGTTACTCTTTTATGACACCACGCATTTTGGAGTTTGCTGCTCTGGTTAGTGTAGTTTTGCCTACTGTTAATAATGAGGCATTTGTCAACCAAATCAAATGCTAGAATTCAAAAGGCTTCTGGAGGTGGATGAAGGTGATGTTTGGTTAAGAGAGAATGAGTTGGAAGTGAATGCAATTGTTCTTTATTTTTGGGCTGGAACAACCTTGGCAGCCCCAGAGTTGGAATCATGTTTGGTCTGCTGAAAATGAAAGGAATAATATAAATCAATAATGGATGAAAAGTTGCTTTGTCATCTCCCTTTGAAGGTACCGTGCTGATGCCAAGGTGGCTCCTAAGGCTCTATTAACCCGTGCAAAGTTCATGGCTGGAGCAGCTTACACAAAGCTGCAGCAAAAACATTATAGAATGTTTCTAATCCCAGCCATCAAAGCCACTAATTAATAATCTCAGTTAATAACTGATGTTGCGCACAGGACCATCACAAAAGCTCCTTGGCCTACAAACACAAGCCTGCGTTCAGGCCAACACACACTACACAACTATTGTAGAAGGAAACGAGGCCCTAGCACTGCAAATAAGGAGAAGTGCAAAGTCCTAGACTTAGGAGGGAGCAATCCCATGCACCAGTGCAGGCTGGGGGTGACTGGTTGGGCAGCAGCTCTGCAGAAAAGGACCTGGGGGGACGGGGGAGAAGAAGCTGAACAGGAGCCAGCAGTGTGCCCTTGGTGCCAAGAAGGCGACCGGTATCCTGGGCTGCATTGGTAAGAGCAGTGGCAGCACATGGAGGGCAGTGATTCCTCCCCTCTATTCAGCACTGTTGAGGCCACATCTGGAGTCCTGTGTCCAGCTGTGGGCCCTCCACTGCAGAAAGGATGTGGACACATTGGAGAGTCCAGCAGAGGGCAGTGAAAATGGTTGTGGGGCTGAAGGACAGGACTGGTGAGGAGATGCGGCGAGAACTGGGCTGATTTAGTCTAGAGAAGAGAAGACTGAGTGGGGATTTGATAGCAGCCTTCACCTCCCTGCAGGGGAGCTGCAAAGAGGATGGAGCTGGACCGTTCTCAGTGGGGGCAGATGACAGGACAAGAAGCAAAGGGCTCAAGTCACAGCAAGGGAAGTTAAGGTTGGATATTAGGAAAAACTCTCTCACCAGGAGGGCAGTAAAGCATTGGAACAGGTTACCCAGAGAGGAGGTGTTTAAGGCCTGGGTAGACAGAGTCCTGGCTGGGATGATGTAGTTGGGGCTGGTCCTGCTTGGAGCAGGGGGTTAGACTAGATGTGACCTGCTGGGTCCCTTCCACCCTCATTGTCTGTGATTCCATGATTCCAGGTCCAAATGATCAAAGCTTGTGGGAGCACGTGGCACCAAAGCTGACGTGGGGGCTGATGAAAATGCTACACAGTGACTAGGGTTTAGTTCTGTGAAGATTACACAACGCCACTGTCACAGGCACACATTCAACACTCAGACAGGTCCTCCTGTGGGATGATTTTAAAGTATCTTTAAAAAGGCATGTCCCTAATTATTAATGTACCACTGTGCTAACACCCAGCTGCACCAGGGCAGTGCACATCTGTCCACTCTAGAGCCCAATATCATGTCCACTGGTGTATAAACATTACAGTGCAAACCCATCATTTGTTCAGGTCTAGAGTTAAACAACCTGCCAGAAGCACAGGTCCTTTGGTTCCTACACTTGGCTGGTGGCATCACTGGGTGCTTGCCTCCCCCTGCCAGCCTTTGCAAGAGCCCAAAGGGCTTGGGTAGTCATGTCTGCTTATTCTTTCCCTTTGCTTCCTAAGGCCCGTAGTACCAAAGCGTCCAGCATGAGCTGAACTCAGTGGGAGTCCCTTCTCTGACCTGAGAACAGGCTCCTGGACTTCTAGCCTCTGATGATATGATGCTGTCATAACCATCAGCTTATGTTGATGTTTTCTATTTGCTTGAAATGTGGAACAGCCTTCACTCTGAGCAAAAGAAAATCCTTCTACAGAGAGGCAGGGGCTGCATAGCTATCTTCCTCTTATGAAAAGAAACCAAATTCACCAGTCACTGGTTCTGCCCAGACTGCCATACCTACAGGCAAGGGCCTGCTGCTCTGAAAGGCTATTCCATTTTAAATGGGAGCACGTGCGAGGGACAGAATGCAGCTGTTTCACAGAGGCTGCACACGCACCCTCGTTACAGGGAGGAGGGACGTTCCTGCTGGAAGGTAGGTAATTTTGGCATTTGTTTTAACACAATTATGGAAAAGTCTCTAGCTTTAATGGCAAGACGGAAGGTGCACCTCGTACATCCTGTTCCCCGGACAATACTCCATTGGCTTCTATATATTGCACTTAATATTACCTTGTCAGTCAGGGAAGCAATAATACATTAATGAAACCCAGCAAATAATTATTGTGGACAATCGGATTACGGCTTTATTAACAGTTTCATAATTGAGGAATCTCTGCACATCAACTGTATTGTCCATGGATGAATATGAACCTTTGTTTATGCACACCTCTGGACCAATCAAACAACAGCCATCACTAATAAAGGTTTATTTAATTCTCACAGTAAAATTTTAATATCACCAGCAGCCTGGGGAAGCCTCAGCGAGTGGATTTGCTTGACATCAGATCGTTTCCATTCTGCTAGTCCCAATACTTCTTAATCTTTAATATCAAGGCAATTAAAATTAATGGCCACTCATCCAAAGCCACTGTGGGCAGTGTTTCCTTGACATCAATTGTTTGATGGGATTACCTAGAGGTTAAACTAACAAGCAAGGTTTAATTGGAAGCAATGAAAGGAGCAGTGATCATACGTTATGTTTAACCTGCATACCACATCTAAATGAATATCTAAAAATGTTAAACTATTTCTCAAATTAAAATACACGCTCCGCACACAGCTAGATCCCCGGGTGGGAGCCGTCCCAGCCATCCTGCAAACACCGTGTTCCTGGCACTAGCATCAGAAGGAATCTATATGTCGACAACCTAGTCTCCAAACTTCTTTTTAATCCCCTGTTAAATATATTTGCTGGGAAGCTGCTGCTGAGCACGAGGCTTGTGGCCTGGAGATGCTAACAACCACACATAGCAGTTGCATGTGGACAAAGAGAAGCAGAAAGGGAGCCGGAGCTTGAGGCCAGGAAATGTGCTGAGCAGTGCAGTGCTCGCTACCGCAGCTCTGGACTCAGCTGCACGTGCAGAGAGTAGGACACATTTCCACACTTTCTCCGGCTGCTGCACTCTCACGTGCTCCTAGGCCTGGATGGTGGAGGAGGCTGCAGGGGAGCCAGGGGCAGGACAGAGGACGGTTGCCCATCCAAGGGCTTTTCCAAGTCAGTGCTCCCTCGGGAGTCAGCCTTTCACTCCAGAGAGCAGGCAGCAACTGTCTGGAGCTGCAGCAAAGTTTGGCATGGGGCCTACCAAGGCTCCCTGTCTCTCTGTGCTACGGCCCCAGCAGAGGAGAGCCTAGGGGTGAGGCACCCCTTTCAGAGCAGCGAGGGTTGGGGTTAATGCCCGCTGAGGTGAAGGGAGCTCTCTCACAGCTACAGTTCCAGGCTGCCTGCAGACTCAGGCAGATGCCTCTGCATCATCTGGCTCAGTTCATATTCCTCAGCATTTCCTTGCAGCCACAAAGGCTAGTACTTACTTCACACTCCCTATGAAATGAAAGCTGAGACCACAGTGCAATCACTTGACTCCAGAAGCTGGGGTCTACTCACTGGTAATGAATGGGTTCTAGCCCAGCCCTCCCTGCAGCCTGCTGCTCCCTGCCTCAGCCTCTCTGGGGGAAAGGAGTGCATTTGCTCCAGAAAACACTCGGAGATGGTGTGCAACACCTGAGAGTGACCCCTGGCCTTGGGCAGCAGGTGCAGGACACACAGGGGAGTGTGAGCACCAGGCCATGATATCACAGCTCAGCTCCAAACCACTTTAAACCTGGCTTGCAGCTGCCCTCCCTTTGCCAGGGCAGGGATGCAGGGCTTTCCCATCCACTGAAGACCACGATGAATTCACCAGTCCCTGTCCCGGGCTGCTCTTCACCAAGGAGCAGCAGGTCCTGCCCTCTCCGGCGTGCCTTGGAAGGTCAGGGACTCAGCACGGGCTGGCAGACTCAGCACCCCTGGGACTCTGGGTGCCATTGCAGGTGGTGTTACTGTCCCGTTGGGTGACCTTAGGCAGGTCAGCGTCCCCACGGGTTGGACGAGGCACCATCCCCTGCATAAAGTACTTGGATCTGCTGGGGAAGAGCCGGGGGTAGCGCGGACGGGCCCAAGGGCTGAGACGCTGAGCTCCCACCCAGGGCATGAGCTGCTGCCCTTACCTGGGCCCCTCTCTGCCCCTCTGTCCTGAAGATGTGAATTCTATACCTGGCCCAAGCATGACGTGGGCCCAGCACCGGCCTCCTGAAGCCAGGACCTGCACCCTGTAACCAGGACAAGTGGAGAAGCAGCTGCTGGGGGCCAAGCACCCCCTGGCTCTCCGGCCCTCCCCACTTCCACAACCACTGGCTGGAAGTTGTCTCCAGCGGAAGCCGCCTAGAAGCACATTTTTCATGAAAACAAACTATCTCTTCACATAAAAAAAAACAATGAACATCTTTCTCCTCCTGATCACTGAAGGCCAATTAATTAATTGGGCTTAATTGTATATTACATTTCAAACAATCCTGTTGCACTTATTTATCATGTTAATTACAACGTTAAATAAAAAGACAATAAATTATTACTTAAATCGTCAAGATGCATAACTGCAGGATTTGGGTTGGGGCCGACCTGCTCCGCTTCCCCGCTCGGGAAAATCCCCGGGACAGGGCAGTGCTCTGCGGAGAGGCAGCTCACACCGACACGTCCATCCTGAAATGAGCAAACCGAACATTTATGGACCACAAACCACGGGGAATATTCCAGTGTGTCTCTGTGTGTTTGTTTGCAGCACGTGCTTTATGGTCTGCACCTAATTAAATGTAACGGAATATGAAATTTTGCAATGACACGCAGAGTATTTATGGCACGTGCTGCCTGGTTAGTCATCTGCCTCTTTTTATCTCTGCAAACTTTTTGTTTCTATCTGCCTCTGTTCCACTCTTTGCATCCTGTTGGAAGTGAGGGATCAGTGCCTATAAATCCAGGGCTCGTAATGTGTTGGCAAAAATAAATAAAAACAGAATCAATGTGAACGCAGAGGAGCTGAAAGGCAGCTCCTGCATGCTGTTTAGAAAGAATTTTAAATATACCCTCTTGTCAAGCACATTTTTCTTTTGTTTGAAGCAATGAAAAATTTTATTGCTATAATCCACTGACATGCATTCAGCAATGACTATGCCCTTTCTCTAGTCTGCATGATAGACTGATAGTTGCTCATGACACCCTGAAAGAGGCTCATCTGCAAAAGTATAAAACATCAGCTTTGCAGCCATAGGAAGTAGAGAACAGATGAGACAGTTTATCTCCCCCAAACACGTGCAGATTGGATAGTTCTAAATTACAGCTGGCAATGTTCTCTGTTAAGGACATTTTTTTCCAAAATTACCTTCCCCGCACTCTTAAAAATGAAATTGTGTTAGGTGTTCATCTTAATAAATAGTTTGTCTTCATGTGTTTCTCGAAAAACTTGCTCTCCATATTATTTTACAGACTGATTTCAAAACCAAATCCATTTATGTCCCACCTGCAGCTATCTGTGCTGGAAGTCGGTCCCACTTCCTTTGTAGCTCAGTAAAGCACCGTGGCAGCAGGCTTGACAGGGAGCCGCACTATTTGGGGTCCCAAGGGCCTTGCTGAAAGTTGGAAGTCTTCCCCCTTGCACCTTGCCCCAGCCTCTGCCAGCCCCTGGCCTGGCGAGGAAGACTGACATGGGATCAGGAGCTGCAATGAATCCCCGCTCTGCTCTGAGCAGCAGAACTGATGGAAACCCTCCCACGGTTTGAGCCAAAACTCTTGGGGGGTTGGAAAGTTGTCAGTTCCCATGTTCTTAATTACCGTTTGTCCCTGCTGCCCTCCCTCCCCCCCCGGGCCCAGCTGGCGCAGAAATGAGACGTGCAGGAAGGCCAGGAGCGGTGCTGGCCGGATGGTGCCCCGTCGAGGCCAGACACAGAAGGTGCTCAGGAATGGTGCAGAACGCTCTGCGCAGGCCCCTGCGGCCATTTGCCGGGATGGCACTGCTCCTTCCATGGGCGAGCTGCCCCTGCCAGGTTGCTAAACAGACTGCCTGGTGTAGCCTTGGCTTCTGTGCTGCATCCTCCTGGCTTTGGCTGCCCTCCACCAGAGCTGCGTCCCACACTACTTCACGACGCCGGCTCCTAGCAGGCAGTAAGCAGTCCTGTGGGACGGCTGCAGAGCTGTCTCTGCTCAGCGCAAGCAGACGCTGCCTCGCAGGCTCTCAGCCCAGAGTATCCTGGCCGCGCCTGGTGCAAGGAAGCGCCCTCTGCACAGAGCAATGCTGTCCCCTCGCAGAAATGCACCCACATCAAGGCTCATTTAAAGCAGGTAAGGCCAGGCCTGGCCCCACATCTGCATGTCCATTAACCCTATAGAAGCCGCCTGGGCTTTTGCTACTGAACCACGCACTGCCAGTGCCTTCAGGGACAGTCTATTCCATGCCGCTCACCGTCGGAAATGGCTGCTCCCCGGGGTTGAATTCTCCCTGTCTTGCGTTATTCTCTGCAGACTGATCTTACCTTTCTTCACTGAACTGGCTTTTCTACACACAAATTAAGCCCTCGCCCTGCAGAAACTCCCTGAACCCAGTCACCTTACCTCTCATCCCCAGCAACACAACAGAGCGCAGGTAGCTTATCCCGACCATGCCCCTAGCACGGGCTCTCCTGCCCGGCTGGCAGCCTCCAGCATGAATCCCACTTAGAAAGCCCCTGCCACATTACAGCCCCATAGGCTGAGCTGCAACAGGGCCCACCCAAAGGCTTTGGTCTCTTGCATTTGTTATTCATACCTTCATGAAGGAGAGGTCCCAGGGCACCCAGCCAGGTGCCTCACGAATGCACCTCCAGCTAGAAAGGCTGCCACAGAGGCATGGGGCCATCAGCAGATGCACCAGTTACTGTCACGTGAAAGCTGGTAGGGACTCACGGCTGTGCGCACACTCCTACCCTGCAGGCGGTGAAAGGCAGCCCACCGTCGCTTACTGTGCCGGCTGCTCTCAGAGCAAAGTACCATTAGTAGTACCATCATTATTATTATTATGATGCTGTGCAAGATTTTTCAGCCCCTGCTCCAGCTGTCTAGAGAACAGCTCTCACCCTTTGCACTAACCTAGCCAGCTCTCACAGATAACCAGGGTCGCAATCTTGTCCCTACTAAAGTCAATGGCAAAGCTGCCATGGACCTCGAGGGGCTTGTGTCTTAGTGCACTTGGGCTGTGAGGTCTGAAAATTTCACCTCTTGGTCTGCTCGAATGGAGCGGGGAGCACAGAGGATGCCGCAGGGCTCTTCGTACAGCCACGCAGGCATCTGTGCAGACTGCTGTGGAACCGCGCTTGTCCTCTTGGTGCTCTGAAAGCTTTCTGAACTCAGGGCTGGAAAGGCAAGGGCTAGTTCCACTCATTGGTCTGACCAAGAGAGAAGAGAGCACGGAGACCAGTGGTTCTTAGTCTTTGTGGATTTAAGGTCCCTCTTCCTGAACTCGAGGCACCCCTCCTGGGACTCACAGGTTCATAGATTGTAGGGCTGGAAGGCACCTTGGAAGATCATAGGGTCCAGCCCCCTGCACCAAGCAGGAAAGACAACTGGGGCCAGGTGACTCCAGCAAGGTGACTTGAGCACCCTCCAGAACTTCTGGGAACTGAATAGCACCCGAGTTCAAACACAAATGCATGTGTTACAGTGCTCGTCTCCTTCCACAGGGGCTGGGCAGGAGGGGTGGGGGACCTTCCAGGCAGGGACAAGCTCGAGCCTGGCTTACCAGCTTAGCTTATCTCCTCACACCTCACGGCACCCTTCAAAGGATGTGGCAACATCCATCCTGGTTGAGAACCACTGGCCAAGACACTCACTGCTTCCCTGCCCAACAGGCTTTGCAGGGTAAGAAGCACCACTGGCTGCCCAGATACCTGGACTGGACACATCTCAGGAAACTACTGGATTGAGGGAACAGTGGGACTTTGCAGTGGATTTCCAAGACCTTACTGATGAGGTGGTTTTGAAGGATCTTGGGTTTCTTTCAGCGCATCCAAAGTTAACAAAGAGTCACCACAAGCAAGGCCGTCGGGTGGGGTTCTTTTCTGACTGCTTTCCCATTTGAAGTCTAAAGTACCTGACTTCTGCCATTTCACTGGAAACCTATACACCCAACCTCAGATCAGACCTTAATTATAAAGGGATGGGCTATATTGTTAAAAATGCCAGTACCGGGGCCTACCATCATCCATAGTTAACATGTTAACCTCAGGCATCGTTCCTTTAAATATATAATTACTTGAAAGACTGATAAGGCAACCTGATTGGGAGTGCAGGTGTTGGCACCCCCCACCAGCACAGCTTTGCTGCTGTCGGACTTGCTTTCCCACCCGCCATGTCACAGCCACACCCATGATACATGTGGCCCCCATGCCACAAGCATGTTCTGAGCTCTGCCAAATTCACAAGCCACAGGAAAGGCCAGATGTGACTTCCCTTCTAGAGACCCGGTGCAGGGAAGAGCACACTCAAGCTCAGTGCAGAATCTGTTCAAGGGGCTGGAACGTCACTGCTGGACCGCAGTCTGGGGCCATCAGGTTATAGCTTGTGCCCAAAATGGCTGACCTGGGCAAAGGCACCTGTCTGCAGAGCCTGAGCTGCATCTGCTCTCGCACGGCTTTGCTTTACTAACCCTTCTGGCCAGCCAAGTGCCGGCTCTAAGGGACCCGTTTTGTTTAACAGGGCTTGCAGCAGTGGAACAATAGCTATCCCCGGGCTGTTGTATGCCAACCAGGTTAGAAGCTTGTAGGCTTCAACCAATCAAAGAAAAGCTGATCCATAAAAATAGATTATTTGTTTGTCGATAAACTAGCTTTTTACTAAATTAATGTTCGGTTTTGATTAATTTATAGCAGGCTAAATGGATCACCCACGGAAGAGTCCTATTGACAAGTGCAGAGTGCATTTGCTACATAGCTGAAGAAATGGTCACACACATTCGTTTTTATGTATTATTTATCATTTTAACTGCACCCCGTGGCACGCCAACCCCTTCAGGCCCGGCTGAGAGGCCTCCTCCCTTCGCCACCGAGCTCACAGTCCGTTTCCCAGCCCCTGGTCAACGTGTACGTCCATTAACGGATGAAGTCCCTGAGGAGATGCCTACAGCGTCTGGGATAGGGGCTGCTGGAGCTGCACATTAGAGTCAGCCGACGCTGGTAGGGGCAAGACCATTTTCGCACTCTTGCTTCTTGTTCCATCAAAATAATGATGCCCCTTTGCTCTGCCTATGCAAATACACTTGCTTTCAAAAGAGAAGGGCCGCTCCATGGAAGGGTGATCAGAACGTGGAGGGGAACCCACGCCTGCAGGGAACGCGTCTCTGGCACTGCCCAGCCCAGCCGGCCGTGCAGGACGCTGGCACCTTTCCTCCTCCTTGGCCCATGGAGGGCAGGGAGAGCACTTGTACACCTCTTACCTGTGATACTGTGATGCTGCATTTCTTTGCCAGCTCTTCTTTGGCTTCTTCACTGGGGTAAGGGTTACTGAGGTGGGAGTAAAAATACTCATTCAAGATTTCTGTGGCTTGTTTGCTGAAGTTACGTCGTTTCCGTCTGAAATGAAGAAAGAAACCCGCTGCTGTCACAGACCTGAGCTGAGACCATCCACAACTCATGGGTGAGCCACCCCCTCTGCTCTGGGACGCAGCAGCACAACCCTCCTCACCCAGCTGGGAACGGCTCCTCCCTGGCACCTCTACACACACACCAGCTTCTGCCACTCCCCTGCCTCCATTTACAGTGCCCGTGTCCTCCGGAGCAGGGTGCTGAGAAGCAGAGCATGGTGTCCCCACATGCACTGCTCGAGCCCCTGCTCCCACCAAGGAGAAGGAGCGACGGCAGCAGGGAGCGACCGTGGTAGATCTGACAGGCCTTTTGCACCTTGAGTAGCACCCACCATGCTCTCCCCCTGAGCTGAGGGACTGCAGCCTACAGAAGCCCCTGGGGCCCTGTATACCTCCACAAGCCTCCCATCCACCCTGACGCCATTTCCCCTGAAGAACACATTTTAGAAAGCGCCAGTGGAACAAGAGCTTCCCATTCGGGTCCCCCTCAGGGCTGGCTGCAATCTAGAGGTGTGAGCCTCGGGCCGCTGTGCAGCCAAGCATCTCTCCCCACAGGACGGCTGAACTGCTGCCAGTGCTGTGCCCTGCAGCAGGCGGGCACTCCCCAGGCCTGCATTTAGCTCATTATCCAGCTTCCGCTCACTTTGCCTCGTTTACCTTCCACTTTTCCAAGGAGCCATGCTGTACATGCTGCCTTTGGCAGCACTGCCAGTGCCCCCTGCAGACATCTCCCCGCCACCCCCTGGTTTCCAATTACCCTAAGTGGCCACTGCCCATGATGTACTGGTAAAGAGCCCACCCGTAAGCCTGGCAATGAGGGGTGGGTGCAGGGGGCATCCCCTGGAGGTGGCTCCGTGCTTTGGGCTGCGGAGGTTGCTGCAGGGCACTGGCACCTTTACCGATGCAGCTCCCAGGCAAAGCCAGCCGGCAGGGGATCAGCAGCCAGCCTAGACTCGGCCCCATGCCAACAGTGAGACAGCCGCCGGCAGTGTTTGCAGGGCACTTTTCTAAAGACACCCACCCAGTGCCGCCTGGTCCCACTGCTGTATCAGCCACGGTGCCTGCAATGAAAGCCCCTTCAGAGGGGCAGTGCGAGCCATCCCTCCCTGGGCCAGCACATACATGACCGTGCTGCCCGGGGGGGCCTGACCCTCTTTGCCAGCCCAATAAAAAGCCGTGGCAGCCAAATGCATCACTCCCATACCTGGCATCAAGGAACCGCGATCTTAAAATCATGACTGCTTCACAAGTGCTTTGTTTGAGCTGCATCTGGATGGAGCTGAACTTTCGATGAATGATGCCCACCATCCTCTCGATCTCCTTCGGAGAGATGGGGCGTGTCCGACTCTGTTCTCGGAGCAGGTTCATCACGTGCGTGGTGAATTCGTTACAGGCCTGCAAAGGAAAGAGGGGGTTAACAACGGTTTTGTGCTGTCACACCACGACACGGCTGCAGCCCCCAGAAGCTTCCCGGTGCAAGGCAGACACACTTTCCACTGCCTGGGGGGTGTGTCAGGGCAAAGAGCCGCGGAGAGCCTGAAGCTGGTTGGCAATGCTCATGGGCCAGAATGGAGAGCCATGCAGGAAGCGGTAACACTGTCAGGAGCCTATGACTGGCCAGACTTCCTACTATGGCCTCCTCCCTGCCCAACCACACACGCTCTGCCCAGGCTACCTTGCATCAGTTGCTCCCCCTCCCCGTGGTCTCTGGCCCATCTGACAGAGGCCTGCAGCACGCATTCCAGGCTCTTACCCTTCTGACCCCTGGAACAATGTCACAGGTCCCTGCCTCTGACCTGCACCTCTGGGATAACCGTTTGATCCCCTACGCCCATGGCATGCAGATGGGATTGGGAGCTGTGACTGCATTCCTTCTCTATGACCAGAGATCAGGCTGCTAGTCTAAAGTGCCGCAGCAGAAAGGTGCGCTCAGTCTCCTGCTAGCAGAGTGGCCGTGGCGCGCCAGGCATGGCTGAGCTTGAGGTGGGTTAAGACGTGCTGCCATCTGATCGCTGAAACCTCCTGAAGCAATTCCCTGCCCAAGAGGGAATTTGGGAGGGTCCCTATGCCGTGCCTCTCTGGATACCTTGGGCCCTGGCCTGCTCGTATAGCCGGGAGCCCTTGTAAGTGAAGGAGCTGGGAGCTCCTCCACCCACTAAGCAGGGGCAGGACACCGTGATCTAAACCATGCATGCTGCATCATCTGCAGACTTTGTCAGATCTGCGTCTCCCTGCGAACAACATGCCTGCCCGCAGCAGGGGCTGGGAGCTGTCACCCACTCTGCTGATATCCATCTCTCTGATCGTTCTCTAACACCCATTTGAGGTGAACTGAGTCGTTTGAGGGATCCACTTGAGGGAACTGAGTCTCAGCTATCGAACACATTTCTTCCCAGCATTGTCCTCACCCGGCCTTAGCCAAACAACAGACACAGCCCTGTGCTGGTTGGGCACCGCACATTTTAGACACGCAAAAGAGAGGCTGGTCTCCTGTTCCCATGAAAGTCCATCCCACAAGTAGCTAGGAGTCTCCAGCAGGCCAGTGTGCTGGTTGTCCAAGCCAGGCAGAGGTTAGAAAGCAAAGGTGACCAAAGCTCTCCCTAGGCTTGCCATGTATCTGATGCTCAGCAGCTGCTAAACCCAGCAGAGGGGACAGTGCCACGTCTTGTCCAGATCGGCCTGGTGAAGCATCACTGCAGTGCCAGCTTTGATTTTCTTCTAAGGCTAGCGTTAGGGACACCCCCTCCTCATTTGTTCTGCACCAATTTTCAGTGGCCCACCTGAATTTCATTAGCCCCATGCAAGGGAAAGAGTTAAAAGTGAAAAGTTTATGCATCTGAAAACTCATAATTTCCTACAACATTTGCTGAATGTCTCGCAACTTATTAAGTGAAGCCATCTATGAATGCAAATGCTGATTAGCAATTTGGCAATAGCCCAACATTCGCAGAATTCACATAGCTTTTCTTTAAACCAGTAGTTCATACATGATTAATTAGAACATCTCATTTATGTAGTGTGCACTTTAGCTCATTACTCTAAGTAAAATTCGTTAAGTATTTACATTTAGATAATTAAAATCTGGGTACACCCTTAAGAAAGATGCATACACTTCAGGCAAAGTGATTTTTTTCTTTACACTGCTGAAAGTAAATTACAGGCTAATTTACATCCTTGCTGCACCACTGTGAAGGCAGCGCTCGGACGAGCTCAGCTCCTCTCCCTGGAAAGGTGCAGACTTGCCCTTGGCACGGAGCGCAGCACTGCCCATGCCCTCCTGGCCGTGATGCTCCTCACGTGGTCGTTCTTGAGTCGGGGCACAGCTCCCTGCTCCTCCCTCCAGCACTGCTGGTGCAATGAGATGGGGCTGGTTCAGTGGGAACTGGTGTCTCCATCACCCACCCGCATTTCTGGGGCTCTTTGCCTGCTGTCTGGGTTTACACTTCTGCAAATGGGGTCTTGGTTTTTCCTCTGCCCTGTTTCAGGCAAAAGAAGTGACCCTGAGAGGGCTCCCAGTCACCTGTCAGCCACCTAGCCCACACCTAGAGCCTGCCCTCCCACCCGATTCTCCCCCATCCAGGAAGAAGGGACCTGAACCGGGGGCAGGAGGTGTCCCAGGGAACCTCATGGGGAGAGAAGCAAGTTGGACTAGAAAGGGGCCCCTCTCCGCAGAAGAGAGCCAGGCCAAGAGCCATCTCTGCCCGGGGCAGAAGGCAAGAAGGCTGCACCAGCACAGGGCTCCCAGACTGTCTGGTGCAAATCTGCCTGGACTGGAGGAGGTAACATGCAAATATTTCCCCACAGAAATGGCATCAAAGTGCTGTCAGAAGGAGGATGCTGGTGCCAAGTGAGCTCAGTAAATTAAAACAAGGGGTCTGAGCGCACATGCACCACGCAGTTCAACAGAGGAAGGGCACTGGCACTGCCAAGCAGTGAGAAGCCTTCCCAGGCCCCGCCTGCATCCCAGGACAGGATCGTTTGGAGGCCGAGAGATGAAGGGCCTGACTCTCCTCCCCCTTCTCCAGAAGCGCAGGGAGACTGGAAGGGCCAGCCGCCTTCTTGTGTTTCCCCTGGGTCACTTCCAGCATTGAAACTCCTGGCCCCTTTCTCATGCCTGTTTTGCAGGCCTCTGCTTGGTGCCCCAGACTTTATTAATAATGTCAGGTGATAAGTGATGGCCTTGTTAACCTGCTCTGAAGCCCTGCAGAAGCAGAGGGTGTCTCAGCGTGCTCTAATGCTTAATCAGATGTGCACACGGAGAAGAGGAAGATTGGCTTGCTTTGGCAGCCTGAGAGCCGTTCCCCAAACAGCCTTCTGCCACGGCACAGCCAGCCAGCCCCAGGCTGAGCTGCACCCGGCCGGCTTCCAGCACAGTCCGTGGCACTTGCCCAGCGCCCAGGCTTCACCCGATGTGGTGCTAAGTCGAAAGACAGCTGTGAGCTCAGAGAGCAGACTCCCAGCTGCTCAGGGAGGCGTGGGACCCTTACAATACTTTTGCCTACAGCAAAAATGTATTTCAATGTAATTATAGAAGATAGCTTTCAATATGTCACCTCTATTATAGGAGCTGTAAATTATGGAGAGCGCTGCCTGTGTACGGCCATCTCTCCTGGCACGCGGCGAGGGGAGAGCTGCTGATGGCGTGACATACTTTTTCCCCTTCCTTAAGTGCATTCCCCTCCCTGGCAACAAATGTCAGAATCAAGCTCTGTCTGGAAAGCATCTGCACAGAAGACGCTTGCGGTCTGTGCTTCTGGGGGTAGAGAAGAGCAGGGACGGGCAGAGGCAAGGAGAGACAGAAGCAGGCATCTGACCCCATTTTGAAGCCATAGTGGGCTCACCTCCCCGTGCTCAGGGCTGGGGGCCGGCTCCTGCCCCAGGGGACATTGGGCCAGGGGTTCTGCTGCCTCTGTCCCCCAAGGACAGTAACAACTGTCCAGAAACTGGCGGCCAGTGAAGACAGAGGTGCACAAACCCGGCTGCCTCTCTGCGGTGGAGATGGGCGCTGTTCTTGAGACAAACTGGTAGCAGACAGCTGGCTGCAAGGCTGGAGGAATTATCATATTTCTGTACGGCAGGCAGCGCTGGGTGTCAGGATCAACAGGGGGGAAAGCCTGCGTGTTTCGCATCCACTCGGCCTCTCGCCCTCCCCTAGCAGCACGTGAGCCTCCTCCTCGGTTTTCTGAGGGGTGGACGGATGGCTGTGACATTTCGGCTGAAACCTTTGTAAATGGAGCTACCGGCTAAAAACGCAATTTCCCCCCGCCCCCCCAACAAGTCATTAAGCTTATTATAGTCAAAGGACACTTGCCAGGAACTAGCTATTAACACAAATCTGAATTTATTTCAGCCCCAAATCCATCTCCAGCTTCTGTCCCCGTGACTTTATACCGGCCTGTTGTTTACTGCAAGGTCTGCTCTGGCTAATGCAATGGCCATCGCCACTTCAACACACAAAAGAGAGGTGTTCACTACTGCTCTGTGTGGCGGTGCAGGGAGGACCGGGGGCCCTGCAGAAGAAATGGCCCCAGGCACAGACACTGCCAGCCATTCGCTGCCTCTGCCTCTCCCTGCTCGAGTGATGGCCACGGACAAGCCTGCGTGGCTGGTGTCGAAGCAGACCTAGCCTGGCACCACCGCAGTGCTGTTCTGGACTCGCCCTGGCCAGGGACAGCCTCATGCCCGTCCCCCTCTCTCTCTTGGGATGCCGCGTGCCTCCTAACACCCCCCTGCACAGCTGAGCACAGAGCCTAGGTGCTCCACCGCTGGGCTGGCCGCCCCCTCCGAAAGTCGACAAGAGCCGGAATCTGCGAGGGAGAGACCCTGGGTGGGCAAAGTGCCCCAGGGATGGAGGGGAGAGAAGTGCATGGGGCTTTTAACAGCCTGTGGACGAGAGGCTCTGGGGTAGTAGTGGGTCCTTCAGCTGGACTGTCTGGCTGGGGGTGGCAGAGCCCCCACCAGGGAAACACTGTCCCAGCAAGAGATGCCAGCCCAGTGCCCGTGCCGTCCGGGGCGAGGAAACCAGAGCACACAAGAGTCACGTGTGCTGCTCTGGACCAAGAGCAGGTGAGAAGCGGGGACTCTCCTGCCGGCTCGTTCTGCCAAGCTGAGCGGACTGGCACTCACTGCAGCAGGCCCCAGTAGCCCAGTCTGCCCAGGACGCGGTGCTCCATCACGGAGGTCCTGGCAGTGTCTCTAACCCTGCACACTGTGCCGTCTCCACTAACCGCCTTCCTGTACGTGCAGCCCAGAGAGCTCCCATCTCCCTTATGTTGCTTGCTTGCTGCAATGGCATTTGTAACATGACGTTAAAGCAGGCCCAGGTCAGATGGAGGGTTAATACTGAGGGTTGACCGAGGAGCCTGGCTGGGCAACTGCGCTGGGCCCAGCTCCCGCCACAGCAGCGTGGCCAAGTGGACGGGAAGCCGCAGCAGAGCAGCTCAGGATGGCGTCTGGGCAGAGCTGTGATTCTTCTCTGCCTTGGTGGTTCCTAGCAGGATTTTTATGGCTGCCTGAACATCTCTGCTGCGGTTTCATTTGGTTCAGACTTTCACTTCACCGTACTGTAATGGGCTCAGGGTGGGCCCAGCACTTCCCAGCACAGGAAACCACCGGCTGATGAGGTTCGTTGAGCTGATGAGGTCCAGGGCTTACAAGCTTTATTAGGACACCTCTGGGATGGAAAGATGAAGACATTACTCGAGGCTTGCCAGGGCCAGGGATCTCACACCCTTCTCTTCTCCCTCTGCTTCTCCTCCTGTGATGCAACGCCACACATGCCACAGCAGGACAGGAGAGAACTGCAGCTCCACGGGGCGCTTGCAGAACATGATCCCTACCACAGTGCCAGGAGCAATTGCCCCACTCCCGAAAACATCAGGAAGCAGCAATCTGAGCCCCTGGTGCCCAGTGCAGCCACGAAGACAGCAAGTCCCTAGTCCCCTCAGGTGACTGCAGAGGACTGGATCATATAATGGCACCGAGAGTCAACCTCACCCAGGAAAGGTTCTGCCATCAAACTAATCTGTGTATTTCTTGCTCCTCTTAAGTACCTGCAGATTGTTTTGAATTGACAAGCTCTCTCTCACCCCAAGTAACCCTGCAGTACTGCATATCATCTCCCCAGCTAGGGCTGCCAGAGGAAAAGCTGGCTCTGGCCAGACCCAACTTGAGATGCCTGGTGACGTTTAGAGATGCAGGAAACAATGACCATGGGGCCAACCCTCTGATTCTTGCGCGAGCACAGGGGGATTGTTAAGGCCCACAACAGGCCAGGAACTTTGCTTTGCCTCTGCTTTGAGCCATGACCTTGCCCCTCAAACCAGCGCACCCCAGGCATGGGAGGCAGCTGCCTGGGGTCTGCGGTGGCACTATTCTGCAGGCTCCTCCCTTGACCAGTCCGCTCCTGGGGCAGTTGCGAGGATGGGGGCATATAGCAGCTCAGGGGGTATTTTTATGCACACACAAGCTCAGCTACAAATGACAGTCAGGGACAACAGAAACCCCCCAGGCATGCAAGCCAGGCCTCTTGTTTCCAGAGTATCAATGGTCTCATTTGACTGCACAGCTCTTCCAAGAGAGACGGGTGTCGGGGGAGGAAGGGAAGAGAAGAGAGAGAGAGATGAGGAGGGGAAGGAGAAAGAGAGAGAGGTTGTTCCAAGCCCTGTACAGAAACAAGAGCTGGCTAGCAGAGGTGCAGAGAAGAGCGGCCACAGGTACACGTAGGACTGTGAGAGCGATGTCTGACCTGTTCATATTTCTCCAACTCTGTGTGATAGATTTGTCTGATCTGGGTCAATTTGGCTCTGTAATCTGAGTGTTCAATAGAGTTATCTGAAGACCCTCCAGAGGCGGCTGCTGCTGCAGCTGCTGCTGCCGATCCCCCACCTTTCTCCGGACCTGACACCCCTTCCGCCAGCAGCATGTTGTCCAGTCTCATCAGCTGGGGATCGGGAGGGTCTTCCTCCTGGGCTCCTCTGATGCTCAAACCTTGGGGGAGAGAGAGAGGGAGAAAACACGGTGAGTCTTTCCCATCCCCTGTCTGACTCCTGCCCCAGCCAGCCCTGTTCATTGGAGGGTTTGTACCACTCCTTTTTGCCCTTGAAAAAACACTTTTTGCAGTGAGAGATGACAAGGTGCCCAGGCCTGAGGTCTGATAATGGCTCATGTCACATCCCTGTGATGACCCAAGATGCCCAAGCTTCCCAAGATGCCCCTATGGAATTTCAAAGCGACAGAAACAATCCTCAGACATGACTCCACCATCAGCAAAACCTAGCAGAGAATGAATCTGTTTGAAGAACTTGTAAAACACCCCACAGAAAATTTTTATTGCAAGTATTATAAAAATGCATGTATACATGTACAAACATCTACAGGTGCTTTTTTTGTTACACATAACACATCGCCATCTAAGCAAGACTGACGTTTTTTGCCTTTTGCAAAACCACATAGGAGAGGTAATCATCTTAATTATTTGGAAGCCATTGATTTGTTTCCCATTTTCTTCCTAACACATCTGAGTCCTGTGTTGCTCTTGCTAAGATTCTCTCTCCGGTTCCAGCTAGAGAAGTCCTCGGGCTGATGTAGGATTTCTAGAGAAGGGACATCATCTCCTAAACCGTTTAGGAATCCTCCTAAAGCAGGTCTCCTGGATGCTAGTTCAATTCAAGCAGCCTCTCTCCAAAGGCACCCCCATTCTCTGGAGCTGCCCCAGTACCTAGTGGGAAGGTTCACACATACAAATGGGAAGCAGGTGGGACAGAGGTGAGAGCAAGCCAGGGGCAATAACTGTGTGGGGAAAGCTGAGGCTGGCGGTATTTGAGCAGCGCATCCAGTGCCACACTCACACGCAGAACACGGCACCGCACCACAGCTTACATGCAGCTTCAGAAATTGAACATAAACAGCAGAGAATTACACATTCTTTTACCACCCAGTAATTTAATTGCCATCAGGATGCTGGGATGCTAAATATGTGTTTAAAATTGCCAGCACTGTTACAGTGCATGGTCGGGGAAAACATTTTAAATCTAATTTCTGTTTTAAATCGAGAACTTTCAAAGTGATGCCCAGTCAGCAATCTCATCTGAGCGCTATAGATCAAGGCTGACAATTTGTAGGTTTAATCAGGTCATGCAGGCATTCTGCCAAGACGTGATCAACAACGCCGAAAACAAAGTTTAAAAATAATTACAGCGGTATAAAAATCGCTAGAGCCACGGCTTCTTGAATCAGCATTTCCATTAAAGATGTAACACCGCCCAAATCCATCCCAGCCTAATTAACCTCTTTAAAGCTATTTAAAAGCAAGTATTCACGCACTCGTTAGACGGATCCCAGTGGGTCGGCAGTTGGCACCTTGCATGCTCGCACTCCAGTCCCGCCGGCTGTGCCCACCCTTGGCTTTTGCTGCACACAGCAGTGCGCTGCATGGAGTCCAGGGCGCACGACACGACAGGAACATCAGCTGAGCGCCAGCAATGCCAGTCTCTGCCCTCGCCTGAATGCAGCCCAGATCTTCTCAGAATCAGGGCTAATTTCTTCCTGCCCTGAGCGCCACGGCCTGCGCCACATGACCCCGTCCTGACCAACCTCCCTGGCACAGGAAGGTGCTGCTTTCATTTTGCTCTAAAATACACATTTTAAATCTGTCACCTTCATTTACAAATGTGATTCCATATCATTTCATTGGGATAATAAAAACATCTTGTCATTGTGTTAAATTAGTTCTGTCGCCTGTTTGGAGGTTTGCAGATGGGCACGGTTTGCATGCAGAACGCGCTGCCACCAGGCGCGCACCATGGTTAGCGCTGGGCAGAGGAAGAGCAGTTTATTTTAGGACTTGCCTCTTCACAGCCAGGCGGTCAAAGAGGCCAGTGGTTCTTTCGGGTCTCTCCAGTGATATGAGCTCAGCTTGCTCAGCGCATTGCCCAGCATCAGCCTCACGGAGCGGCAGCTTTGTCCTGTGCATCAGGTTCCCTGGCCCTCCCCGTCTCTGCTTCGCTTTGACTCATCACCCCTGCTTCTACTCACTTCCTTGGCTCTTCGATTTCTGCAGGGGATAATCCCTGCTGGCTCCAGGAGACTGTCCTCTCCTTCCCAGCCTGGCTGCTCCTGATTTTCAGACTGCTCTGAGAGACTCACCTCCTCCATTTCTCATTTCCATTTGCTTCCTCCTAACACCCGTCCAGATCGCTAAGTCTTCTTTCTGTTTCTCCCTTTGCTTTCTGTGGCAGCCTGTCCTCCCTTATGTTTCCCCAGCTATTTACAAGTTCATGGGCTACCATGCTCCTTATTCTCCTTCATGGGTGAATGTGGGTTTCTCTCCTCTGCCCGGACACTCACAGACACCCCAAATTCTTTCCCTGGGATTAAATGGGCACAGCTCCCCTGACCCCTGGTACTTTGGCAGCTGGGCATGGGCATAACATGAAATGTTTCTGTAGAGAAGCACAGTGCATTGCTAGATAGAAGCTAGCTCTCAGGGGAGCCACAGGGCCCTGCGTGCAGCACACACAAATCCACATCACTGCCAGGGGTCTCCGGCACACACTTCGTGCCTTGCAGTGCAGACTCTGGGTGTGGAAAACTGTTCATCCCACTGAACTCCTACAAGAGGTAACCGTGGGCATGAGGATGAACGTGCTGCACTGGACCCTCCCTAGTTACTACATGAACGATATGCTTCAAATCAGCACATCATAAGTAGGGGGTGGTTTTCCTTTGGAGCAGTGAAGTCCTTTGTATGCTGTGAAACCGGGAGGCTGCTGAGCCAGCTAACGGGCTCCTCTCGCACACGTGTTGTTTTCCAAATGATCTGCGGCGAAAAATTCAGGGCACTTCCCAGATTCCTTAGCAATGAGCAAACACCTCCTTCCATCCACTGGCACATGTCTGTTCCTGACTCACATCTGCCTTTATAAATGACTCTCCCTTTGAGCACGGTGATAATATATGTATTTTTTGACATATAAGCTCACACTCTGTGGCTATTGTTTCCCTTTTTATTCCTCAGTATATCAACCCATGAGTTTATTACTGTTTAGCTCACTGACCTTTCAATGCATCGTGGAATGAAGGTAGAGAGCGGGCTGGAAAGAACACAACAATACATCACTTCCAGCACAACTACAGATGTACTAATGGCCCAGGAAGTGCGAGGGTCCCAGCTAGGCAGCAGTCACCTACCAGCCTGCTGACTGACAGTAAACCCTCTCCCTCTAATAGGGCCATGCCAAGTCGTGCCCTTTTTTTGGCCAGCCCCTTCTATGCTCCATAATATCCTCTTATGCACATTTGGATCCATCGAATGTCTAAGATCTAGTCTCCCTGGTGACAACAGAGTGCTATAAGGTTAACAAAAAGCATGTGTGCTCCTGATTTTAATCTGCTTATAACCATAACATGCATTTCAGTATCTCCACGATTTAGACAAATCACATAAACAGACACTAAAACATTGTTTAACAATGAACTTGGCTTTGTTAGAAGACCACAGTTTTAGCATATCTTTCAGCAAATCCTAATTAGCTGTCTTTCACCATGCTGTGCACCTGCCCCCACAGATAATAGACGAGAGCATCTGCATAGACTACTGCATTCAGAGGCCAATAAATAAATTGCAGGTCAAAATTATTACAAAGCTTTCTTCAAATAAACCCATCTCCTTCACAATACAAAGCTGCAGATATGAAAAGTACCTAAAGCCCACTCAAATGGTATGATTACAGGGGCCGTTGGAGTTTAATAATATGACTGTAATTCAGGCATTTTCAACAGCTCATTAAGGGTTCATTAATATATGGGCAAGCTTTTGAATTATAAATAAGCAGATTAGAAACCTGCAGTGTCTGAATTGTACAGTAGTATCCTCACTAACAGAATAATATTGCAAACACAATGAAGGCTTGACCCAAGAGACAGAAGGTGGAGATGCAGGGCACTGCCTCAGCTTGTGCTCTCAGTCTTACTTATTTATTCCTCGGCTCCCTGCTCGCTGGCAAGGGAGGGCCTCTCCTGGAGCACGGGGTGCTCAGGTGGGTGTTTCAACAGACACGGTCGCAGCGCAATGCTGGGGCTCTCTGGCGTGGCCCCAGCCCATCGTCCTCCGCTCCCTGAGGTCCAGGTCTGAAAGCCCGCTGAGGTCACTGCCATTGGCTTCCACAGGTCCCTGCAGATCCCAGCCAGAAGACAGCCCTTCTCCAGCACCTGCCCAGGTCACCCAGCAAGCCTGGGCTATCCAGTCTCTTTGGACAGCCTTAGCCTCAACTCAGGGAAGCCCCCGAGCACATGCTCAGCTCCAAGAGGGGGCTCACGCCCCACCACACCCAGGCAGGAGAGGGGGGCGTGCATGTGCACTGCATGCCTCTGCTTCGGGCAACTCCTTTGTGCCTTGCTGACTTGCCCACTGCCCCAGGCGCCTCCAGTGCCCTTCTCCCCTCTCCTGCTTGCCCTTCATGCTGGGGCTGTCCACAGCTGCTTTCAATGGGAAATTTGGGGTTTCAACTAAACAGTTTTTTTTCCTGACAACTTCTGTTTTCCACCACATTGCCAGTTTTTCATCAAGGGGCAGACTACCTAAAATGATTCTATTCCAACCCAAAAGTGCTGCACAAGTGCATCATGGGAGATGAGGACTGACCAGGGAGACTGCCTTCTGTTTCCCTTCTCCTCTGTAGCCCAGTCCAGCCATGGCTCCCGGGAAGCGCGGGGGGGACACTTCCACACCAAGGGGTTTCAGGCATTGTCAGCTGAGGAAGGGATAAGGGAATGCTTAGTCTCACTTGTTGCCTCCAAATATATCCCCTCAGTGGGCTGGACACAGAGGGGAGGAGAAAGAGCGTCCAGCCCTCGGCCTCATGGTGGCTGAGCATGCAGCAGTTCCCACGCAAGGCAGAGCAAAATCCTGCCGATGCTCTAAGCCGGGACTGGCACTGCCAGCTGCAAACGTGTGAGCGATGCATTGCCCTCTGCATGGGAGCCTCCTT